GCATACAATCCGGCATATCGTATTTGTTGGTGCAGTTCAGAACTCGTTCAATGTTAGCTGTGGTCAATTTTACCGAGTCACCGTAGAAGAACTGTAAGAATTCCTTGAAAGCTTCCGGTGAAGCATCCGCAATTTTTACATCGCCTTTCTCTTTCAGCTCTCCATTGAACATGGCATTGAACACTGGGCTGATTGCCGCCAGAAGCGCCTTATGAGCTGGAACTTTCTGATCGCTTCCTTCGAACACGAAAATTACATCAGCGGTTTCTTCGGTGAATATGTTTTCCATGATTTTCTTCATCGGCGTTTGATTCACGAATGTGTCGTCGGGTGAATCAATGTTAACCTTGTTGTTTGGCGGCATATGGGTAGACATTATGCCTTCTTTCTCGTCAACTACTGATGATTCACGACCTGAAAGCAAAAAATCATCCATTTAAAGTTTGAAGTTGTGAGCTAGGTTATGAATGCAATGTGTACAACATAACCAAAAATCACTTACTGTGCCGATTGTTTTCGCGACTTTTGATAAGTGTTGCGTCATCCAATTTGTGATCTGATTGCGTTGATTGCTATGCATATGGAAGAGAGTTGAAACGTTTCATTACTAATTACAGCAACCAAAAATTATTATTTAGCTAAAATGAGTGGCAATGATTTTCATATCGTTCATTTACGAGATAGAATGGATTCAAATTCGCGAAAAAAGATGTTGCAAATTTTCTGTAAAACTAATACTCATTCTCAAAGATTAAGACTGATTTTTATTCTGACGAAATAAAGCTAGCTTTACCTAGAGTAAGAAGAGAAATAAAATTACCTTTCAATTGCTTTGATTGTTGCAACCAATTGCGATTCGGCTTCTTAGCGGTATTCGATCGCAAAATGTTTGTGACGAAGTGACGCCATGTCAAAACACAATAACGCGCTAAACTCTCGGGTACGTTTAATGACATGCAAAATAGATTAGATTCTCAAAGGGTTACCAATTAGAACCGATTCAGATCACCGCCAAGATTTGAATAATTTCCAATTTACTTTTCAAATTTTAAGCCTACTTTCATAAAGCAAGATATCTAAGATAAGCTTTCTTATTTATTTCTGGTTTAATCATTCAATAGCGATAATCATCACTTTATTATAATAAATCGACATTTTATATTCACTACAGACGCTCAATCGCTTTATTTCATTAAAATGATAAGTATTTCAGAGGATTGACCGATTTACCTTTGTACACAAACGGTGTACACTTTCATACAATACGCGTTACAAGAATACCATAATTCCTCATTGGGCTGTGACAATAAAGTTTCCGGAATTCATCATTTTAGCCGCTTCAGGTATAGGTATCGTGTAAAGTATTTTTTTTCCTGAGTTGGTACAACCTTAACAAACATCCATGCCAAATTTGAACTCAATATGTCAATTAGTATAGCTGTGGCAGTGGTGTAAGTAATACCCCAAAGGTACCAATGGCGATTTTTTGCAAAAGCATCGTCTTTTAGGGTAGTGTCTTTTTTTATGCAGATATCGAGTTAGAATTTTTTCCTTGAGTTGCTACAACCTTAACAAACATCCATGCCAAATTTGAGTTTAATATGTCAAGTAATTTAGTTGTTACAGCGTTATAAGTGATACCTCCAAAAGGTGCCAAAAATTGGGCTCTTCGAGTCTTTTGATTTTTCACCTCCAACACTGCGCGTGTATCTTTTTTTATTCTTCATACTCAATTAAACATGAAGTAGATAGTCCAATTATAATATATTGGGAAATAAGAGCCACAGAAAAACACATTTATGAACAGATACAAGCTGAGAAAATCGAAATTTGTGACTTTTTCTGGTTTTCATGGCGTCATTCATCAATGGATGTAGTTGTCTCTCCATCTATGTTAAATATATACCAGAATGAAGGAAACAGAATGCTCAACAACTTTGCTCAAGACACCAATGCAATATAATGCTGTATTTTTGCTCAAACATAGTTAAAAACAAGATATTTTTATGACACTTTTGCAAAAAGTCGCCATTGGTACCTTTGGGGTATTACTTACACCACTGCCACAGCTATACTAATTGACATATTGAGTTCAAATTTGGCATGGATGTTTGTTAAGGTTGTACCAACTCAGGAAAAAAATACTTTACACGATACCTATACCTGAAGCGGCTAAAATGATGAATTCTGGAAACTTTATTGTCACAGGGTATATCTAGTGAGTATAGTTATTAGAATATTATTGGTCGAACGAGTAATAAGATGCATGGTATCTTATTAGTATAGTTATTAGATGAAATATATTTGAGTAATGAGATGGTGATGTTATTAGTCTGGAACCAAATGTTTCCCATTGATAACAAACTGATAAGGAGTGCGAATTTCGATGTGGCGATAACATAAATGGATTGAGCACACAAAATACTGTATGAGAATCGAAAAAAAAATTAAACTTTTTTTTTCGATTTTCGGCTGTATTGCGACCGTCTACATGGGAAGTTTGTATGAAATTCTCGGAGCGCCGCTGCTTTTGCATTGGATTCTATGGCCAAATGTACACATTGAAATATCTCGAAAACGGCTGGGTAAATCGGCAAAACGGACCGTGATGTCACTCCCGAAGGGAGTGTAAACACCCAGCTGGTTTGATGGCCTAGAATATAAATCCGGTGGAATTTGGGCTGATCCATGGATTCTCAGGATTTGACCTGATTCCAGCACTTCAGTTTCTTTGCGTTGTGGTAACATAGGTAAAATGACTTCTGGAATCAGGTCAAATCCTGAGAATCCATGGATCAGCTGAAATTCCACCGGATTTGTATTTTAGGCCATCAAACCAGCTGGGTGTTTGCACTCCCTTCGGGAGTGACATCACAGTCCGTTTTGCCGATTTATCCAGCCGTTTTCGAGATATTTCAATGTGTACATTTGGCCATAGAAGCCAATGCAAAAGCAGCGGCGCTCCGAAAATTTCATACAAACTGCCCATGTAGACGGTCGCAATACAGCCGAAAATCGAAAAAAAAAGTTTAATTTTTTTTTCGATTCTCATACAGTATTTTGTGTGCTCAATCCATTTATGTTATCGCCACATCGAAATTCGCACTCCTTATCAGTTTGTTATCAATGGGAAACATTTGGTTCCAGACTAATAACATCACCATCTCATTACTCAAATATATTTCATCTGATAACTATACTAATAAGATACCATGCATCTTATTACTCGTTCGACCAATAACATTCTAATAACTATACTCACTAGATATATTACTAGTGCAAAAAAGTAATGAGTAATAATATAGGTTCATCTTATTAGACTAATAAGTAATAAGACCACTAATAAGATACCGAAAATGCCAAAGTATAATAAAACGGTTTTAGTGAAGCTCAAATTTAAAATAGGAAATGGATTAAAAGGTAATCTGTTGTTTAAAATTCGATGAAGAGTACTTAGAATGTCTTTTTGTGGGCACAACACTTTTTTTGCGATATGTGTTTGAAAAAATATTTAGAGAAAATGAAAAAAAATTCAGGAGGCAGACAGAGTTGAACTATCATCCCTTCGAACTGCAGTCGAATACTCTACCATTAAGCTATACCTCCTCATGTAAGCCGAAGTCCATATGATTGGCGTCGATCTGTGGCTTTGTCTGCCGTTGAACTAGATCATGATCGTTTTCTATATTTCACAATTATTCAATGCTCTTTCAATCTATTGTTTTAATTTCACTCACAAAGGCAGAGTCTGTACATGAGAATATTGATGACTAGTCATAAGAAAATCGTGACGTATCTCACGTATTGGCTGACCGGAAAAAAACTTCCGAAAGACAAAAGACCAATGGATAATATCCATAAATGGATAAAAACATAAAACGTGTACGTTTCAAAGCAAGAATGTGTGGGATGTTGAAGCAAACATCTGGTGTTTAAACCATTGCAAATGTCGCACGTATGTAAGCGTGTATATTTTCAGTAAGATAAGCTTTTAGTATGACGTTGCTATGTATGATTCTAAACGCAATGATAATTATCAAAGTACGTAAAAATGAAATGAAATTCTCTCTTCTGCTTTCTTCTTCTATTGTTTGCGTTCGAAATTACACAACAAAGAAAAAATAAAAAAAAAATTCAGGAGGCAGACAGAGTTGAACTATCGACCCTTCGATCTGCAGTCGAACGCTCTACCACTGAGCTATACCTCCACCCGCATACTTAGGTTCTAAAAGTGGACGCGACCATTGATCCGGACGATCAACATTCTTGAAGCTTCTAATACACATCATCAATAGATGAAATCATTGGAAATGTTATCAAA